GAGAGTCAATGAGAGGTCTCTATGGGGTAGGGGCGTGTGGGTTGGTCACTCGAGGAGTGGTCAAGGGGCGGTGAAGGAGGGGTTGCTGCTGGGGCGGGTTAGGCCAAATGGGATGCGAAGGGTGCTACTGATGGGTGGCAGGGGCTTGGGTGGGGGCAGTTAACAGGCTTGAGATGGCAAGGTGAGAGTCGGTGGAGGGGGTTGGGAGGGGAAAAGGTGTGTCTTGAGACTTCTCGAAACACTCTTTTTTTACGCTGCTACTGATGGGTGGCAGGGTTTTGGGTTGGGGCGGTTAGCAGGCTGGAGATAGCAAGGTGAGAGTCGGTGGAGGGGGGGGGAGGGGGAGGTGCGTGGAGGGTGCGGGGAGAGGAGCGTGCAGGAATCACTTGAGTCAGTTGGCGAGGAGTAGCAAAGTTGAGAAGATGGTTGTGAGGTGGTTGCAAGAGTGAGGGAGGGAGGCTATGGGCATGCCAGGTGAGTTGAGAAGATGGGTGCAGGTTAGGTGAGGTTCATTCGCCCAACCCTTCTCCAACTACCTCCCCTCCCCATCCCTCCCAATTCCGGATTCCTACTTCCAACCCAGACCTCGCAGCACTGTTTCCCACATTCCTCTCATAAGCCCCTGCCCATTTTCCTTCCTTCCTTCCCTGGCCCCTCCCCTCCCCCCAGCTCTACATGTGCTTCTCCTGCACCCATGTGTCTCTGACCCACTGCACAGTCCCAACCCCCCCCCCCCCCCCCCCCCCTCCCCCCCAGCACGGGCGCAATGCTCACCAAGGCACTGTCCCCTCCCCTCCCCCTACCCTCCCTCCCCCCAGCTCTACACCTGCTTCTCCTACACCCATGTCTTTCTGACCCACTGCACAGTCCCGGCCCCCACAGCACGGGGTGACTTTTGAGTCGACTCAAAAGTCAGCTCGGAATGCACCTGCTTCTCCTACACCCATGTCTGACCCACTGCATGGTCCCATCTCCCCCCAACCCTTCCCCCAACTTCCCAGCAGCTCCGCTCCGCACCTGCTTCTCCAACACCCATGTCTGACAGACCCACTGCACCGCACGGTCCCACCCCCCACAGCACGGGTGCAATGCTCACCAAGGCACTGCCCCCTCCCCTCCCCCTACCCTCCCTTTCCCCCTCTCACCCACCCCCTCCTTCCCAATCCCGCTTCCCCACCCCTCTCAGCTTCACCTGTGCGATTCTCATGCCTACGTCTGCGTCTGCCCCACGGATTCCTGCCCCTATGCTGGCGCCGCACTACCCAGTTCATGAGCTGGCCCTTCCTCTCCCCTTCCCACCCTTCCCCACCCCTCTCAGCTTCACCTGTGCGATTCTCATGCCTACGTCTGCGTCTGCCCCACGGGTTCCTGCCGCTATGCTGGCGCCACACTACCTTCTAAGGCGTCTCAAAAGTCCTGCCCCTATGGTGCCGCGCTCCTATGGTGGCCCTGCACTAGCCAGTTCACGCGCTGTCCCTTCCTCTCCCCTTCCCACCCCTTCCCAACCCTTCCCCCAATTTCCCACCAGCTCCTCCACACCGCACCTGCTTCTCCTGCACCCGTTTCTGGCCCATGAATCCCCCGCCACGCCAATGCAACATGGGCCTTTTGAGTTGAGACGTCTCAAAAGTCCTCCGCACCGCACCTGCTTCTCCAGCACCCATTGCTGGCCCATGAATCCCCCGCCACGCCAGTGCAACAGGGGCGCACTCTTCACTTCACACGGAACCTGCCGGCTGCTGAGTCTACTTTTGAGGCACCTCAAGAGTAGATTACTGGCCCATGAGTCCCCCGCCGTGCAACAGGGGCGCACTCTTCACTTCACACGGAACCTGCCGGCTGCTGAGCTGCGGAGGCTGTGCGGTGTTCCCAACTCTTGAGGCGGCCCAAAGACAGTCCTCGATTGGCACGGCATGACCAAGAAACCCTGCGCTGCGCTCTGGTTCACTCTTTGCCAAGGTTGCAAGCCACCTTCCTTTCAACACCCATTGCCGTTATTTCCCCCCCCTCCAACCTCTGTGTGATAAGTTGACTTTTTAGTCGACTAAAAAAATCGACTTATCACACCCTGCGCTGCTCTGCGCTCTCTTTCACTCTTTGCCAAGGCTGCAACCCACCTTCCTTTCAACGCCCATTAAACTTTTTCCTCCCCCCTCCACCCTTCCCCACATCAGCTCCGCTACTGCTTCTCCCACACCGACTTGTGCTCCACCAGCTCGCCCACCCCTCTGGCGCTGGCGCGCTGTTCACCCCTGCAGCAACACGGGAGGGGCTGCAGGCTGGGCTGCTGGGTGCGTCGTGGCGTTTTTCATTCTGGGTGACGAGCAGACGAAGAAGGAGGCGTGTGGTGCGAGGCCGGGTGGGGCGGGGCTGCTGGGAGCACCTTGGCAGTTCTTGAGGACGGACGAGCGAGGGAGGAGGAGGAGTGGGTGGGAGATAGCGGGCTGGGTGGTTCGATACTTGCGAGTGTCTAGTAGTGGGTCACAGGTGAGGCGAGGCTGGGTGGGGCTGTAGGTGGGTGTCCCATGGCACACCATGGGTGGGTGTTCTTGAAAGAAGAGCAGAGGGAGAAGGAGATGCGTGGTGAGCGGAAGTGGAGAGGTGCAATGGTGAGCACCGATCAACGCCCTTCCTCCACCTTTGGCCTGCCACAGCGCTACCACTCACTTTTGAGTCCTTCCTTCCCTCCTCCCGAGTAGGTGGTGTCTTGAGGAGTGAGGAGGAATAGGACTGGAGGGAGGGAAGGTAGCGCCTCCTCCTTCTTTCATTCCGTCCTCCCGGGTAGGTAGCAGAATGAATGGCGTTGAGAGCAAGAAAACAAGGCTGCTTCAGGCAGGGTTGCTCCCCTGGCCTGCCATGGAACTGCCACTCGCTTCAAGTCCCTCATGCCCTCCTCCCGGGTAAGGGGTGACCTGAGGTGACAGTGAGCCCAGGGGTAAAGCAGTGAGCTGGTGGAGAAGGGAGGTGGGAGGGAAGGTATGGTATGCACCTCTCCCCGACCTACCTCCTCCCCAGCCCCTTGGGTTGCCACTGCACTGCCACAGACTGGGTAGGTGGTGAGAAGAGGGGCATGTAGTGACCTGAGGGAAAAGGCAGTGTGTGTGGGGGAGTGGAGGAAAAGGGGTGAATGTAGCAAAAGCGAGAAGCTACCCTCTATCCTCACCCATGCCCTGACCACAAAAGTGAGGAGCGTGGGTGCTTTCTATCTCCTATGCCACCCACTGTGATGCCCTACCCTCACTGCCGTCACTCACCTGCCTACCCACCCGTTTCCCTTCACCTCCAACAGGGCACTATTTGGCAGACACAAGGCCAAGGAAGGCGGGTGTTACGCTACACCAGGCCCTACATCCTTAAAACAGTGCTCTGCCTCTTCTGAACCTTCATCATCCTCTTCCTCCCTGCCCTTCCTTGCTCTTTCTTCCTGCCCTGCCTTTTCTGCCTTGCGCACCCTTGCCTGCCATCACCCCTCCCGCCCGTCTGCCGGCACGATCCGGCAGGAGCAAAGCCAAGATAGCCACTCTCAGCACTGTCTCCCTCTTGGGGCATTACGTAATTTTTCCAAGCAGTGCGCTGTGCTTCTTCTCAGCCTTCAACTTCCTCGCCTTCCCTGCGCTTGCTTGCAATCTCTGCCTGCCCTACCCTTCCTCCATCTTCCTCCTGGCCTGTGGTGGTTTCTCCAGCAGTGTGCAGTGCCTCTTCTCACCTTTCATCATCCTCCTCTCCTCGCCTTCCGCAACAGCGAGAGCTCCTTTGCTCGATGAGATGTCCTCAGCACTTGGCGATACGAGCTCGCACAGCATTTACTGTTTTATTTGACCCATCAGCTATCTTCATGAGATGCCATCGTCAAGATCGCTGGGGACCGTGCGATGGGAAGCAGAACCGAGCTCGGTCAAGATAAACAAGCAATAACAGTCTAAAAACAAATATAAAACAACTACTTTATTTCCTGAGTAATTTCTGTTAATGCTGGTTTTGTTCAATTTGGTTCCTCTGATTGGCTGCGGAACTGTGCAGGGAGCAGTTATCAACCCCCGCTTCACGCTGCAAAAGTTCTTTCCAAATAGGGACTGTGGAGGAGGGGCTACACCTAGGAATTACCGTATAGGAAAAGCTCCTCTTTTCTGAAAATGGAGCCTACTAGCGCGGAACCGCATAGGAGAACACTTGTACATTTACAGCGCGCCACGCCACGCCACGCCACAGATATCCCATGCGCCATTCGAGGAGTGCAGTGTTCTTCAAAGCGGTTCGCTTCTGAAACGGTTGAGCTACTTCACTTCCATGGCAGCAGAAACCCGCACGCCGACGATTGAACTATTGCTGCCTCGCTCCTTCTCGCTTTTCACCCAGGCATGCACCGCCTTCAGTTCCGTCCGATATCACTCGTTGCCGCTAGTATCTCGAGACGAGACGAGATCCGCCAGTAGTACAAAGGTGGAAATGCGACATCTTGGCCGGCCAGCGCCGGGGCGTGAACGTTCGCGGCCGCGTATACGGCGACTAAAAGAAAGCTACTACTACTGGTGCAAGACGGCCTTGATATGAGTGATGCGAGTGCCCCGGGACGGGAATGAAGGCGAGATGCAATAATGGCATTTTTACTGTCCCTGCGACGTCTTTCTGTTAGTAACTCCGTAGAGCGAATATTGCGCTCGTTCGCGGTACTGGTCGTACTCTCGTGCCTCATTCGCGTGTGTTACCATCAACTCATAGCGCCGTCGCCGGTCGACGCTCCATTCACCTTCCGCAGTCTCCAACTCCGTTGTTGCGGCCCTTTTATTCTACCTCTAAAAAACCTCACCGACGATCCCCTACTGCTACTGCTACTAACCAAGCCCGCCGTGGCCTCTGCTAGCAGAAATGCTTCACTTAGTAATCTCACTGCTGCTGTGCTTCCCGCGCCTCTTCCCGTTCAACCTGCTAGTGTGGTCGCGCCTCCTCCCGTCCAACCCAGTGCGGCTGGGCGTGCCCAGCAAGCAGCGCGCGCGTATCGCATGAGCGATTCGTGCGTGACGGCCATGCGAATCCCCCGCGCCCTCTCCTCAACTAACGCCCGCGGGCCCGCGCTGACTCCGCCGCAGAAGCGTGCCGCCGCCGCGTGCAGGAGAGAGGTGCTGAGCGCGCTGCAGCAGTGGGCGGCAGAAGCGAGGCGGAGAGACGCCGAGGACGCCTGCCAGTGGGAGTCGCCCGAGCTGCCGCCGAGCGCACACTCGCAGGTCACACGCGAACCCCACAGCGGCCCTGCTGCTGATAGCCCCGCTCACCCCGCTGATAGCGGCCCTGCCGCCGACAGTTCCACGACTACTAGTGCTAGTAGTAGAATCGTTAGTACCATCACCGGCGGCGCCAGCAGCACCGTTGACACAATTTTGAGCGCAGCTGCTGACTTTGTCAGCCCTGGCAGTGCTGCTCCTCTTGCTGCTGCTTCTCCCACTACTCCTAATTCTCCTGCTGCTCCTGCTCCTGCTCCTGTCGCTGCGCCTGCTGCTGCCCCTGCTGCTGCACCTACTGCCGCGGCCCCAGAAGACTCCGCCGCGCCGCTGTGCTCCGCGGCGTGGGGGCGGGCGGCGCTGGCGCGAGCAGCAGCGGCGAGTGCGTACGTGGGGAGGGCGGTGAAGCGGAAGATGACGTCACTGGCGCGGATAGCAGCCGGCGTGGATGCAGTGTGCCGTGGGGTGCGCGAGATAGAAGCCAGCCTGGTCGGCGAGTGCGGCGACAAGGGCAATGCGGGTGGCCAGGGTGGGAAGGTGCTTGCAGCTGAAGCGGGAGCAGGAGCGGGAGCAGCAGCTGGAGTGGGAGCAGCAGCGGGAGGGGGAGCAGCAGCGGGAGCAGCAGGGGGAGCAGGAGCGGGAGAAGGAGCGGGAGCAGCAGCGGGAGCGGGAGCGGAAGCAGGAGCAGGAGCAGCGGGAGCAGGGGTTGCAAAGTGCAGCACGTGGCCTGAGGCGTGCTGGCCTGTGCCGCACATGCCTTTCTCCGATGTCATGGTGCTCCCGATTCCCCATCTCCTTCCTTATCGTCCCTCTTTCCTCACCCTACTGTCTTCCTCTCGTCCATCACAACACACAAACTCCCCCTCATCCCCCCCCCCCTCCCTTGCCCCTCTCCCTTGATTCTCCCTCCCCCAAGCTCGCCCCGCTTCCCTCTCTTCACTACATCCCCCCCAGTCCGCCAGGGCACACAAGCGCGATCAAGGATTCTAAGAGTCCCTCTCTGAGCCCCGTGTCCCTCTCCCTCCCTCCATGCCATCCCCTCCCAGCCCACCAGGGGTTCCTTGTCTTCGCCTACTCCCCGTCAAGCAGGTAAGTTTTGAGTCGACTCTCAACTCGTTTGCCTCCTCCTCCATTCCCACCCTTCTCCCTGCCCCCTCCTCCTCTCTCCCTCTCCCTCCCTCCCAGCCCACCAGCTCATCGTCAGGGGCGCGCAGTTTCCTCGTATTCGCCTACTCCGACAAGCAGCCGAGTTGTGAGTCGACTCAAAACTCAACTCATTTCCCACGCCCTCCATCTCACCCCCCAACCACCCACCCCCCTCCCCCCCAGGCCACCAGAGCGAGTAAGTTCCTGGTGTTCGCCTACTCGGACGAGCAGCTGTCCAACACGCGCACTCACCTCGCAGAGGCCGTCCGCTTCGCCCAAGCCACCAACCGCACACTCGTGCTGCCCAAGGTACTGCTCGTGCTGCCCAAGGTACTGCTCGTGCTGCCCAAGGTGCTGTGCTGCTCTGCTCTGCTCCCTTTGCTATGCCTGCGGGCTCACACGGAGGTTTGAGAACCAGCCGCTGCGCCTCTGAATAAGCCCCATTTTGGCCCTGTGATCCAGGGCATGGGGTGGTATACCCTTGATGCCCAACGTACCACTCGCTTTGTGCCCAGCGTAGCACTCCACATTATCTGCTGTCTCCCGCCTCTTGTGCTTATGTTTCCCCTTCCTCTCTGTGGGACCCCCCAACCCCCCTCCTCCCCTCTTTGCCGTCCTTCAAAACCCACTTCATCTCATTCCAATTCCACCCCATCCCCTCTCCCCTTCCCCCTCTCCCCTTCTCCCGGTCTCCCCCTCTCCATCTTTCCCCCCTCCCGCCTCCTCTCCATTCCCCCCTCTCCACCTCTCCCCCTCTCTCCACCTCTCCCCCTATCTCCCCTCTCCCCTCTCTCCCCTTCTCCCCCTCTCTCCTTCCCCCCACACGTCCTCACATGTCAACCATGGCAGGCCAGTCGCAGCCGCCTCTCACTCGCCCGATCCCTACCGCTCTGCACCTACTTCGACCTCTCTCGCCTCCACACCCACTGGATATCGCCCGAGCTCTTCCTGCTCCTCGCTAGAGCGGCTCTCGCACCCCCATTTGCTGCTGCTACACGTGGCGCCGCTCCCTCCGTGGGCTATGTGCATCTTCAGTTCTCCACCATACGACGCATGCCCTTCACTCAAAGAAAGTACCACCCGCCGAATTCAGTTTTGAGGCGCCTCAAAACTAGATTTTCGTGCCATGCCATTGCTTCCCATCATATCACATGACATTCTGTCAGGAAACGCTTAAAACCCGCCACTCGGTGCTTCTTGCTGTGCATCTGTGTGTGCGCCTTGGTGTGCACATGCCTCAGAATCTCTATTTGTTGTACTTTGGTGGGCAGGGCCGGTGGTGGAAATGCTGAGTGAGCTGATTGTGTACGGCATGGGCCACGCACCCTCCAGACGCAACACTGCTGATATCATCATGCCAACCAACGACTCTGCAGTTCTCGAGAGGCTCAATAAGTGGTGCGTCACTCCATGCTGACCGCCCTCATTCCATGCTCATTGCCCTCATTCCATGCTCATTGCCCTCATTCCATGCTCATTGCCCTCATTCCATGCTCATTGCCCTCATTCCATGCTCACTACCCTCATTCCATGCTCACTGCCCCCATTCCACTCTCATTTCCTCAATCCCCTTATTTCGTGCTTCATGGTTTCAGATGCTGGCGAAGAAATTTATTATTAAATCTAGCATCGTCATATCCTGTCCAGAATCCCTGTACAGCACGCACCATAGCATTCCCCTTATGGAGCCATGCAGTCCTCAAGAAGGAAACGGCTCGTAACACATGCATTCCACCTTCTTCCTGTTTGTGCAGCCCAGGGCTTGCAATTGGATCCCAGAGCCTGCCAATGCAAGCAACTTAGAGCTTGCCATTGCAGCTTGTCATGTTGCAACCATCTTAGCCAGCACGCCCACCTTCCATCCGCAAACGACTTGGCCTCAATTCTGACGACTTCTGCTATCTCCTGTGTGTTCCATGGCTGCAGGCGGAACGTGGACGTGCAGGTGTGGGTGAAGAGCACATTCGGTCGGGTGGCCTTTGAACCCCCCACCAACGCCATCTCCTTCCAGATGCTTCCGTACAGCCAGGCGTGGCACGCCATGGCGCATCGAGCCATGGCCCGCCTGCCCCAACGGTACATTGCGGTGCACTACCGCTCTGAGTTCATCGCCTTCCACCTCGTGAGTTCATCGCCTTCCACCTCGTGAGTTCATCGCCTTCCACCTCGTGAGTTCATCGCCTTCCACCTCGTGAGTTCATCGCCTTCCACCTCGTGAGTTCATCGCCTTCCACCTCGTGAGTTCATCGCCTTCCACCTCGTGAGTTCATCGCCTTCCACCTCGTGAGTTCATCGCCTTCCACCTCGTGAGTTCATCGCCTTCCACCTCGTGAGTTCATCGCCTTCCACCTCGTGAGTTCATCGCCTTCCACCTCGTGAGTTCATCGCCTTCCACCTCGTGAGTTCATCGCCTTCCACCTCGTGAGTTCATCGCCTTCCACCTCGTGAGTTCATCGCCTTCCACCTCGTGAGTTCATCGCCTTCCACCTCGTGAGTTCATCGCCTTCCACCTCGTGAGTTCATCGCCTTCCACCTCGTGAGTTCATCGCCTTCCACCTCGTGAGTTCATCGCCTTCCACCTCGTGAGTTCATCGCCTTCCACCTCGTGAGTTCATCGCCTTCCACCTCGTGAGTTCATCGCCTTCCACCTCGTGAGTTCATCGCCTTCCACCTCGTGAGTTCATCGCCTTCCACCTCGTGAGTTCATCGCCTTCCACCTCGTGAGTTCATCGCCTTCCACCTCGTGAGTTCATCGCCTTCCACCTCGTGAGTTCATCGCCTTCCACCTCGTGAGTTCATCGCCTTCCACGAGTCATTGTTATTCTCATCTCGATGCTGCCCTATTCCCACCTCACCCACCCTGCAGCTGCACAAGCTAGTGCAACGAGGCTTCAAGGCGGAGGCAGGCGTGCTGGAGGCGCTGATGGCGGGGTGCATGGAGGCGGCGCGCGACGTGATCAACGGCATGAAGCGCCGCCACAACATCTCGGCCGTCTTCATCGCCGCTGACGTGCCGTTTGACGACCAGGCGGGCAGCGTGGTGCGGTCGGACTCGTGGAGGGAGACCACGTGGAAGTTCCAAGGCCAGGACAGGGTGCTGCAGGCCCCAAGGGAGAAGCTGCGATGGTTGAGGGAGCAGGTGGCGGGCACAGTGATGGTGGACGAGCTCTTGCCTGCTGTCAACCAGTATGACCCCGGTCAGTGATTGCACTCTGCTTGGGTGGGTGCCTCCTTGGTTTGCTGTTTTGATGCCTACTTGGGAAGCTGCATGGGTGGCGGCTACAAGGCTAGATCTGTCTGCTAGAGCCTTTGTCTCTCTTCTAATATATTCCAAAAATGTGACTAGCTGCTCCTGTGTGTCATGCCAACTCTTTATTGCCATCTCCTCTCTCCCTTCCGTCCATGCAGGCATTGTGGCCATATTGGACAAGCTGCTGTGCGCACATGCACACGTGTTCCTGGCTGGGAGCATCATGTGTGGGGGAAGCCGTGGTTTTGAGGAGGACATCACAACCCACAGGGTTCACTTCAACAAGACTATCTTCCACAGATGGGTCTTACAGACAGACAAGCTACTACAGCACACAAATGCAAGCTCTGCAGGTCCAGAGTGAGGGGGTCAGGGTACTGTTGGCGTACTGGTTTTTGAGAATTCTAAAAAATATGCCTTTGTAGGACAACAAATGCATAGGACAGCAACTACTCTCTCTCCAAGCCTCTCCCTGACCCGCCGCTCCGCTACCACCGCGAAGGAGCAGAAACGTAGAGATTCACTTGTTGGTCCTTATATGTTGGGCAATCATGTTGCAAAACTAATGTGTGCCACAAAGTATTACCGGTATAAGTAAAGCCATGCCAAAGTGCTCTGCTCTGCTTCCAGAGAAGGGAGTGTCATGCATTCAATGAGGGTACCGTGCCTACGGTATTCCTTTGCGTGTACAGTGCTACAAAACACAGCTGAAGCAATCAAAGTTGGTACTAGGAGCTTGAGTAAGTTTACCATTAGCAAGGTCTAGAAATAATAAGAAAGTGGCAGGACAATATCAGAGTGGCATGGTACACAAAGCAGAATGGTGACAATAAGAGGAGAGACAATAACGAGTGCGAAGAAACCCCCCCCAACACCCCCGTAAGGCGTGCCAGCAGACAAGCGGGAGGGGTGGCGGCAGGCAAGGGTGCGCAAGGCAGAAAAGGTAGGGCAGTCAGAAAGAGCAACGACGGGCTGGGAAGGCGAGGACCATGAAGGGCAAGAAGAGGCAGAGCATTGGTTTAAGGAGCATGAACTCCCGCACCTCTGCCATGTCAGCAGCCTCTCCCGCACCTCTGCCATGTCAGCAGCCTCTCCCGCACCTCTGCCATGTCAGCAGCCTCTCCCGCACCTCTGCCATGTCAGCAGCCTCTCCCGCACCTCTGCCATGTCAGCAGCCTCTCCCGCATCTCTGCCATGTCAGCAGCCTCTCCCGCACCTCTGCCATGTCAGCAGCCTCTCCCGCACCTCTGCCATGTCAGCAGCCTCTCCCGCACCTCTGCCATGTCAGCAGCCTCTCCCGCACCTCTGCCATGTCAGCAGCCTCTCCCGCACCTCTGCCATGTCAGCAGCCTCTCCCGCACCTCTGCCATGTCAGCAGCCTCTCCCGCATCTCTGCCATGTCAGCAGCCTCTCCCGCACCTCTGCCATGTCAGCAGCCTCTCCCGCACCTCTGCCATGTCAGCAGCCTCTCCCGCACCTCTGCCATGTCAGCAGCCTCTCCCGCACCTCTGCCATGTCAGCAGCCTCTCCCGCACCTCTGCCATGTCAGCAGCCTCTCCCGCATCTCTGCCATGTCAGCAGCCTCTCCCGCACCTCTGCCATGTCAGCAGCCTCTCCCGCACCTCTGCCATGTCAGCAGCCTCTCCCGCACCTCTGCCATGTCAGCAGCCTCTCCCGCACCTCTGCCATGTCAGCAGCCTCTCCCGCACCTCTGCCATGTCAGCAGCCTCTCCCGCACCTCTGCCATGTCAGCAGCCTCTCCCGCATCTCTGCCATGTCAGCAGCCTCTCCCGCACCTCTGCCATGTCAGCAGCCTCTCCCGCACCTCTGCCATGTCAGCAGCCTCTCCCGCACCTCTGCCATGTCAGCAGCCTCTCCCGCATCTCTGCCATGTCAGCAGCCTCTCCCGCACCTCTGCCATGTCAGCAGCCTCTCCCGCACCTCTGCCATGTCAGCAGCCTCTCCCGCACCTCTGCCATGTCAGCAGCCTCTCCCGCACCTCTGCCATGTCAGCAGCCTCTCCCGCACCTCTGCCATGTCAGCAGCCTCTCCCGCACCTCTGCCATGTCAGCAGCCTCTCCCGCATCTCTGCCATGTCAGCAGCCTCTCCCGCACCTCTGCCATGTCAGCAGCCTCTCCCGCATCTCTGCCATGTCAGCAGCCTCTCCCGCACCTCTGCCATGTCAGCAGCATCTCCCGTGCCGCTGTAGAGGTGAACAGCGCGCCAGTGCTACAGGGGTGGGAGAGTTGGTGGAGCACAGGTCAGTGTGGGAGAAGCAGGTGCGGAGGGAGGGGCGCCCGTGCTGTGGGGCAGTGACTCAAGAGTGAGTCATTCTTGAGTGGGCATTCCGCCCGTGCCTGGCCTGCACCCATCTTCTCAACTCACCTGGCATGCCCATAGCCTCCCTCCCTCACTCTTGCAACCACCTCACAACCATCTTCTCAACTTTGCTACTCCTCGCCAACTGACTCAAGTGATTCCTGCATACACCTATCCCAACCCCCCTCCACCGACTCTCACTCACCTTGCCATCACCAGCCTGTCAACCGCCCCCACCCAAGCCCCTGCCACCCATCGGTAGCAACCATCGCATCCCATTTGACCTAACCCGCCCCAGCAGCAACCCCTCCTTCACCGCCCTTTGACCACTCCCCGTGTGACCAACACACACGCCCTTACCCCACAGGGACCCCTCATTGACTCTGGAATACATACCCACCACCCCGCATTGACTCTCGCATACATACCCACCACCCCTCATTGACTCTCGCATACATACCCACCATCCCTCACAGCTCTCATCTTGGCATGGCAATACCCAGCCTTTCCACACTACCCTTCCCACATCAGTAAACCCACAACGCATCTCAGTGACGCAGCTGCACTGCGCTCACCCCTTTAGTAATGCAAGTCCTGTCGAAGCCACAAGAGCAGCAGACATGTGATTGCTCAAGTGGCCCTTGTGACGAGTGCAACAATTTTTGAGACGTCTCAAAAGTGGCCCTTGTGATTTTTCCAACAACGCGAAGCTCGCGTCCTGCCTGCCACCTCCCCATGTGCGCTGTTGGCTGCGATTCTCTGGCTGGAGTCATGCGGTGGTGCGTGCAAGTAGAGAAGGCAACACGTGAATGACAATCATGACGCCGCATCAGGTTGTGCCAAGTGGCACCATGCCATTGGCATGACCCGGATCCGCTCGCCCAGCAAACGTGTCCAATCCATCCCATGCACGTTCCTATCCTTGCTCATATCCACGTTCATTTCACGCGCTATGCCATCATCTCCCATAAAGCCCATCTGTCACGACTGTAGTGGTAGACAGCACCCATCTAAGCACCGGCAAAAAAACGCCTTGCGATTGTGACGCCATCCGGGAATAATGAAACATGGAAGGCTGCATGCCTACCATCGCGTTACTGCGTCCTTGTAAGACCACTGAGTGCTGTCTTGTCTCCAATTCGTCGTCCCTGAGAGCATCGACCTCCCTCTACATCACTCTCCCATCCACTCTCGGCCCCTCCTCCCTCGCCTCTCCCCTGCACTCCCCTTCCTCCTCTCCCATCGCCCTCCCCTCCTCTCCCATGCCCTCCATTCCACCCTTCTCTGACCCCACCCTCCCCTCTCCCCATCTGACCCTACTCTTGCCTCTCCCCCGCTCCCCCTCCCCTTGAGCACCTTGTGCGCCCTGTTTTCCCCCCTACTCTTGCCTCTCCCTGCGTCCCTCTCTCCCGCCCTTCCCCACCCCTCTGCCTGTCCCTGCGCCCCTCCTCAGCCCTCCTGCTCCGCCTTAACCCATCCCTTGCCTCCTTTCCGCCAAACCCAAGTCACGCGCGCCCGCATCCTCACTTCCCGCTCCCCTCTCCGCGCCTCCCCTCCCCGCTCCGCCTCTGCTCCCCCTCCGCGAGCCCGCCCGTCATTCTCATCTGTGCTCCCCCTCACACTGGCGCGCAAATCATTTCCCGCGTATCCTCGCGAAGGCGATTGTACGCTGCGGCGGTGGCGGCGGAAGAGGTGCCGCCGCCGGCGGCGGGTGCGGCGGCGAGGAAATCATCCAGGCGGAGCGCGACCGGCGCGGGCTTTCACCGCCGCTCGGCGCCGCCGCCAACGCCGCTGTTTCCGCCGTTGCCGCCGCCGGGAGCCCCGCCTGCGCGCGCGTGCTGCCCCACCCGCCATTGCCGCTGCTCCTCGCTCTGCTGTCGCGGCTCTCCGCCATCGCCGCGAATCGTTTTTATTGCACTATCGTCGACTACTGTCGTTTTTTCACCGTCAGCAGTCGCCTTCTCGTCGTCAACCGTCGCTCTCTCGTCGCAGTCCGTTGCTCTCTCGTCGCAGTCCGTCGCTCTCTCGTCTCAGTTTGTCGTTCTCTCGTCGCAGCCCGTCGCTCTCTCAGCACCGTACGTCGCGCTCTCTCGTCGCCTGTCTGTCGCTCTAACGCAATAGCGATCGCTCCGCTACTTGAAGCTCCAAACGTCCTTCCATTGCCGTGTATTACGCCACTGTTGCCCGTGTAATCTCTCGTCCTGTAATATCTGGGGGAAGAGATTCGTGTCACATCTTAGGGCGCGTGAATTCGAAGTGTGTTTGCCAAAAATCGACCTCTGGCTCGAACCGTTCAATCGAAAGTGGTTCGAGCTGGCTTCTATCGAGTAGATCGAGCAAGGACCCGAATCCACCAGGCGAAAACACAAGCAAAAATTCCCTTGCAAGTTCGCTTGTCGGCAGTCGAACTGTTCGCATGCCCCGCTGCATGGACGTTCGTGTTTTCACTCGTGACTGTCGCGACGTTAGCGAAATCAGTTACCGTCTAATGTTCGACTTACTGAGCAAACCCGAAGGCTGTTCGGTGTAACACAGGAGAGAAAATTTCGCTCGAGTCTCTTCGCTCGAAAGAGAAGTTCGTCTGGAAACCACAACAGCGAAACTAGATTGACGTCATGACATTTTGTCGCTAATACAGTAATTTCGCGGAAGGCTTTTCTTCGCACAGGCCTAGTGGGGAGGTGGACAGGCAGAAGCGTCATCGAAGCAGCTTGAGCCTTTTTCCAGAAGACTCCATCATTTCTCTTACTCTGCTAGTGCTATTCAATCCTAGTCCAGCCCAGAGAGCGCGCCGCGTACCCAACAGCTAGCGTGTATTTACAGCGCCATGGCGGCCATTATCCGCAGTCAAGCGTCTAACAAGCTTCATCTATCCGTGCAATCTCCCTTCAGCCTAGACTCGAATTCGCGCATCGTTCTCCACCCATTCATTATCATCTATGTGATACCGCTCTCGCCGCTGACGTCATGGCTCCAGTCAAGGTCTACGGCATGAACATGTCGACGTGCACCAAGAGGGTGCTCACAACTCTCGAGGAGAAGGCCGTTACGGTACGAGCTGAAATTCTAGGTTTCTTTGCAGCTCGGGATGACGCTTCAACTGCCGACCTTTTATGTTTGAATCTGAATTAGCTAATGCCAATATATTCGTTTTTTCTCAGGACTACGAGGTGGTTACCGTGGATCTCGCGAAAGGGGAGCACAAGTCGGAAGAGTTCACGAAGAAGCAGGTGGGCGAAATTTCCATTCTGCACGCGAAAGCCACCACGATTATACCTTTTCATGGCGCTGCAGCGTTCCATTCAGCTACCTCTTGAATATTCAACGTGTCGCCTGAGATTGCCCTCGTCTGTTTCCCTCCCTGGCCCTGTTATCCCACAGCCTTTTGGAATGATTCCCTATCTCGATGACGGGGAGGTTCAGGTCTTCGGTACGTTCTCAACACTTCTTTCCACCATCCCTTCGGCCCTATCCAATTTCTCTGGTTGCCTGAGATGTTCCTTGTGTCATACTATACTATCTTGTTCTTGCTAAAGGTGGCATAAACTTCACGTACATGTCTTTTGATCTGCAATCAACAGAATCACGTGCCATCGCTCGTTACATCGCTGAGAAGAATTCCAGCCAAGGCACCGACCTTCTCGGCTCCACTCTCAAGGTACCGTATGCAAATCGAGCACTCTTTTCCCTCCTTAGCCTGCTGACATTCTGCCATTCAGATTGGTCATCAGCAAGACTCCATCTACTCTGTCGTTTTCAAGTGGTGTGTGCTGAGTCGAGTCGTTTCAGAATCTCTTTCATTTGGCGTCCTGCTGTGTGTGTATGTATCGTATGGTGCAGGAGCGTGCGCTGGTGAGCCAGTGGTTGGAGGTGGAGGCGCAGAACTACAACCCGCCGCTCTCAGCGCTGATCGCCGAGAAAGTGTTCAAGCCCATGTTCGGTGGGGGCGAGCCCGACCTGGCCAAGGCAGAAGAGCTCAAGGCCAAAGTAAGTCACGAAAGTAGCCACAGGCGTTGCAGATTTGAAGCCTTTGGTCTTTGTTTGGCGGATAGTGCCGTTCACGCAATCTACTTCTGCCTTCTTCTGCGTTTCATCCGCTAATTCCCGCAGTTGTCCAAGGTGCTTGACGTGTACGAAGCCCATCTGGCCAGCAGCGAGTATCTGGCGGGGTCCCATTTCTCCCTGGCGGATCTGTCCCACCTGCCCTACACCGCTCTGCTGTGGATGTCGGGGGATTCGGATCTCATCACTTCGCGTCCCAATGTGAACAAATGGTGGGAGAGGATTTCCTCTCGCCCTGCCTGGAAGAAAATTTCCGCGCTCCAGTGAGAGGATGCAGCTGTACCCCGCTTCCGTCTACTACAAGCTTGCCTGTATGCACGGTATATTGTAAATGAAAACAATTATTCAGCTCTGCTGCAGCTACCGTAAGTTGAAGCTCTCGGAATGAGTGTGAGATCAATCGAATCTTGTATCGAAACATTTTAGAAAGGTTTTACATGGAAGAATTTTTCACTACACTAGCTAGGTTCGTACTTTTAGTGTGTGACGAGAGGCTCCTTATTGTTGAAATTGACAAGAAGCTTTTGTGGAGCAAAAAATAGAGGATGTGGATTTCACTTCGTTGGAGTATATCACTCGTTCATTAGAAGATGAACTGGTAATTTCGGATCTGCCTAAATTGCGTCACCACATTTTCGAGCAAGAGGAGGTCCATTAGTCCAGCGCGACAGGCAAAAAAGCGGGGCGTCAGTTAGTGCGTCGATAGCTATCGCGTCAAATCGCGACAGGCAGGGGACGAGAGAGCGGTGAGCGACGAAACGACGACTGTCCACCGCGAAAAGAGCGACAGTAGACGACGAGAGAGCGTTAAGAACCGAACTGCGATGGCGGAGAGCCGCGACAGCAGAGGCATGAGGAGCAGCAACAATGGCGGATGGGGCAAGCACGCGCGCACAGGCGGGACTCCCGGCAGCGGCGGCGGCGGCGGCGGCGGCGGAGGCAGCGGTGGAGGAGGCAGCAGCGTCGCTGCGAGCAGCACAGGCCGGAGCGGCGGCGGCGGCAGCGGCGCGAAGAGGCGGTGGAAGCCCGCACCGGTCGCGCTTCGCCTGGATCACTTCCTCGCCGCCGCCACCGCCACCGCCGCCACCTCTTCCGTTGCAGCCCCCTCTGCGCGCGAATCCGCGGAAATTTGCTTGCGCGCCAGTGCGATGGGGAGCGCGGATGGGGGTATTAGTGACGAGAGGCCACGCGGATGGGGAAGGGGAGGCGGAGCGGGGAGGGGAGGCGCAGGGAGGGGAGGGGGAAGTGAGGATGTCGGCGCGCGTGGCTTGGGTTTGGCGGAAACGAGTCGAGGGGTGGGAGAAAGGGGGGCAGGGGGGGCAGCAGGAGGGCGGCGGAGGGGAGAAGGGGTAGGACGAGGGATGGGGAAGGTCGGGGGAGAGAGACGCTGGGAGGGCGCGTGCAAAGTGCTTGAGGAGGCGCGCGGAGGGGGACGCGGGGGTTCCCGTGGGGGGGGACGCGGAGGGGAGGCTGCGGGGGAGGGGCGGGTGCGGGTGAACCCAGCAATGTCGGAGAGTATAGGTGTGAGGCGGGGGAAGGAGAGGGGGCGCGGGGGAGACCTGGGGGAAGGGCGTGGGGAGGGGCGGGTTCGAGTGAATCCTGCAACGTCTGAGAGCATTGGCGTGAGGCGGGGGAAGGAGAGGCAGACACCGAAGCAGAAGCGAGTGAGCCGAGTGAAACGGATGGTGCTACAGGCGAGACAGGCGCGCGGGGAGGGGGAGATGGGCATGGGGGAGGGGGAAAAGGGGGAAGGGGAGAATGGGGAGGCGGAGGGCGAGGGGGAGGGAATGGAAGAGAAGATGAGGGAACGGGAGGGGTTGGGGGAGGAAGCGGGGGAGAGAGTGGGAATGGGAGAGGGAGAGGAGGAGGAGGAGGAGGAGGAGGAGGAGGAGGAGGAGGAGGAGGAGGAGGAGGAGGAGGAGCAGGAGGAGGAGGAGGAGGAGGAGGGGAAGGGAGAGGAGGAGGAAGGGAAGGAAGAAGAGCGTGTGGTGCATGGTGATTGTGGGAAGTGTGGGGTTGAAGGGAGGAGTCGAGGAGGCACGGGATGGTTGGCGCATGAGAGGCGTGAAGGGGCGTGTGCGGTGGGGGTGGGAGATGGGAGGGAGGGGCGAGATGGGGGAGAGGCGAGGGAGGGACGAGATGGGGGAGAGGGAAGGGTAAGGTTAGGGGAGGATGGGACGGAGGGCAGGAACGAGGCGGCACGAGAGGAGGAAGCGGAGTGTAGGGAAGTGGCGAGGGAGGAGGGTCAGGGAGTGGAAGGGAGAGTGAACGAGGGGGAGGTGGATGGGAAACGAGTGGGTAGGCGAAGGCGAGGTAGGAGAAAGGGAGGAGAAAAAGTGCAAGGGAGGGAGCAAGAAGGGGAGGCGAAGGGAGGGGAGGAGAGGGGAGGGGAGGAGAACGGAGGGGGGGAGAAGGGAGGGGAGGAAAAGGGAGGGGAAGAGAAGATAGGGCGAGAAGGCAGCACGGTGAAAAGGCAAACGCAGCCGACCACTTACATTGGCGTGGAGGCATGCAGCAGGTGAGGCATGCAGCAGGTGAGGCATGCAGCAGGTGAGGCATGCAGCAGGTGAGGCATGCAGCAGGTGAGGCATGCAGCAGGTGAGGCATGCAGCAGGTGAGGCATGCAGCAGGTGAGGCATGCAGCAGGTGAGGCATGCAGCAGGTGAGGCATGCAGCAGGTGAGGCATGCAGCAGGTGAGGCATGCAGCAGGTGAGGCATGCAGCAGGTGAGGCATGCAGCAGGTGAGGCATGCAGCAGGTGAGGCATGCAGCAGGTGAGGCATGCAGCAGGTGAGGCATGCAGCAGGTGAGGCATGCAGCAGGTGCGGCGAGGAGTATTTGAGAGTTCTAAAAAGAACCCTGCAAGATAGGTAGGCGTGGGGAGGCATGCAGCAGCAGGTGATTCATTTGATGTCCAGCACCACTGAGTGAGCTATTGCCATGTGCACCTTACGCCTTGCCTTGGTGATCTCATGTTCCCAGCGCTGCCTTGAACCTTCACATGAAACGGCTTTTGAGGCTTCCCTTCACATGAAACGGCTTTTGAGGCTTCCCTTCACATGAAACGGCTTTTGAGGCTTCCCTTCACATGAAGCGCTAAAGGGGTGCCTTGGCGATCGCTCATGTTCATATACACCCCACAAGGGTGCACAAGGGTGAAGCTTCACCTGCCCCACACGCAACCCAACTTTTGAGTCAACTCAAAAGTCAGCTTTTGAGTCGACTCAAAAGTCACCTGATCCCTCATGTTCATATACACCCTTGTGCCGAAGCTTCACCTGCTCCACACGCAACCCTCGCTGCACCCATCTCCTCCCTCACACGCCCTCGCTCTCCATCCTCCCACGCACCGCCCCCCTCAACGTCCCCCCCCCCCCCGGGTGCGCCCAGCAGGTGGTCAGTCCCGAACTGAACACACCGGTGGCGGAGCTGCTGCGAAACTAGGGTGTTTTTGAGACGTCCCAAAAACACCCTAACTTCATGTGGCTACTGGTCCAACCTACTGCACTCCCTCCCGCTAACCCCTCTACCCCCTCTACCTCCTCTACCCCCTCTACCCTGCCTGCCTTCTCTAACTCCCTTCTCCCTACTCTTCCATCCCTCAGGTACGCCTACCAGGTCGTCACACCCGAGCTCAACCCTCTCGAGCCATGGTGCACGAGGCTCAACCCACCCTTGCCTCGTGCCCCATGGCTCCTGCCCTCTCCCCCCCTCTCCCAGGTATGCTCACAAGGTGGTAACAGCGGAGCTCAACACGCTGGTGGCAGAGTTGCTGGCGGAGCTGCAGCTATTTTACTGCTGCTCAAACCCCCTCTCCCCTCTCTCCCCCCCCACTCTGGCCTCCCACGTTTCTTCCCCCCTCTAACCCTCCTGCCCCCTTCCCCCCAGGTACGCCCACCAGGTGGTCACACCAGAGCTCAACGCACTGGTCACAGAGCTGCTGGGGGAGCTGCTGCGGTTTCACTGCTGCTCCAACCCCCTCTCTTATCTCTCCCTCCTTCCCTCCTCTACTCCCCTGCCCTCTCTCCCCATGTCCCCCCATTCCCCTCCCAGGTACGCCCAGCAGGTGGTCACACCCGAGCTCAACGCGCTCGTGGCTGAATTGCTGGCGGAGCTGCTGCGATTTCAAATCAGGGCGAAGCAGAAAGACCCAATCAAGGTGAGAATAAGGGGGAATGGGCATGCTTTTCCAAGGGGAAGTGGCAGTGTTGCTGGGGGAGCTGCTACGATTCCAAGTCAGGGCGATGCAGAAAGACCCAATCAAGGTGAGCCTGTGAGCCATCGTTCAAATCAAATCAAAGCCCTGGCGTTGCAACCACCCTGCACTTGCCACCTACCTACCTAACACATCTTCCTTGACCACCAACTCATGGCCGGGAGCGAGCAGGGAGTCATGTGATGTGGCAGCAGGACGGCAGGACGGCAGGCAGAGCAAGGCTGAAGGGGATTAGCCGTATGAGGCAGCATCTGCTAGCCGGGCTGAAGGAGGTGGGCCGGTAGAGCAAGGCTGAAGGGAATTCTCCCTTCCCCACTCCCTCGCCCGGTTTTTGAGAATTCTCAAAAACCAGGCAGAGCAAGGCTGAAGGGAATTCTCCCTTCCCCACTCCCTCGCCCGGTTTTTGAGAATTCTCAAAAACCAGGCAGAGCAAGGCTGAAGGGAATTCTCCCTTCCCCACTCCCTCGCCCGGTTTTTGAGAATTCTCAAAAACCAGGTAGAGCAAGGCTGAAGGGAATTCTCCCTTCCCCACTCCCTCGCCCGGTTTTTGAGAATTCTCAAAAACCAGGCAGAGCAAGGCTGAAGGGAATTCTCCCTTCCCCACTCCCTCGCCCGGTTTTTGAGAATTCTCAAAAACCAGGTAGAGCAAGGCTGAAGGGAATTCTCCCTTCCCCACTCCCTCGCCCGGTTTTTGAGAATTCTCAAAAACCAGGTAGAGCAAGGCTGAAGGGAATTCTCCCTTCCCCACTCCCTCGCCCGGTTTTTGAGAATTCTCAAAAACCAGGTAGAGCAAGGCTGAAGGGAATTCTCCCTTCCCCACTCCCTCGCCCGGTTTTTGAGAATTCTCAAAAACCAGGTAGAGCAAGGCTGAAGGGAATTCTCCCTTCCCCACTCCCTCGCCCGGTTTTTGAGAATTCTCAAAAACCAGGTAGAGCAAGGCTGAAGGGAATTCTCCCTTCCCCACTCCCTCGCCCGGTTTTTGAGAATTCTCAAAAACCAGGTAGAGCAAGGCTGAAGGGAATTCTCCCTTCCCCACTCCCTCGCCCGGTTTTTGAGAATTCTCAAAAACCAGGTAGAGCAAGGCTGAAGGGAATTCTCCCTTCCCCACTCCCTCGCCCGGTTTTTGAGAATTCTCAAAAACCAGGTAGAGCAAGGCTGAAGGGAATTCTCCCTTCCCCACTCCCTCGCCCGGTTTTTGAGAATTCTCAAAAACCAGGTAGAGCAAGGCTGAAGGGAATTCTCCCTTCCCCACTCCCTCGCCCGGTTTTTGAGAATTCTCAAAAACCAGGTAGAGCAAGGCTGAAGGGAATTCTCCCTTCCCCACTCCCTCGCCCGGTTTTTGAGAATTCTCAAAAACCAGGCAGAGCAAGGCTGAAGGGGATTCTCCCTTCCCCACTCCCTCGCCCGGTTTTTGAGAATTCTCAAAAACCAGGCAGAGCAAGGCTGAAGGGGATTCTCCCTTCCCCACTCCCTCGCCCTCCCCACGCACAGGGAGCTATGAGGCGTTGTGTGCTGGCAGGGCTGGGGAAGGTGGGCAGGCGGTGCAGGACTGAAGGACATCCGTCCTCCCTCTGAAGGACATCCGTCCTCCCTCTGAAGGACGTCCGTCCGCTCTCTCTTTCCACTGAAACCATCCCCACGTGCTGGCATTGATCACAGAGGTCCCTCCTTTTCATCCCGCTCCCCCTCCCCATCGCTCTTGGCCCTCCTCCATCCCCTTCCCCTCTTCACCCACGCACAGGGGGCTATGAGGTGGCGTGTGCTGGCAGTGCTGAAGGAGGTGGGGGCAGGCGGTGCGCAGCTGAAGAGGATTTCCCCTTCTCTCTCCCCTCTCCGATTTCCCCCGCACGCACAGGGCGCGATGCGGCAGCGTGTGCCGGCAGGGGTGAAGGAGGTGGGGTGGGCAGTGCAAGGCTGAGTGCGATTCCCTCTCTCCCCCTCCACCCTATCCCACATAACCTCCCACGCTCAGGGAACAACGCAGCAGTGTGTGCCGGCAGGGCTGAAGGAGGAGGGGTGGGCAGTGCAAGGCTGAGTGCGAGTCCCCCTTGATTTCGCATGCCTGCGTGCAGGGAGCGATGCGGTGGCGCTTACTGGCAGGGCTGAAGGAGGTGGGGCAGGCGGTGCGCAGTGGGAGGGCCAAGTGTGTTGTGCTGGCGCCTAATGTGGAGGAGGTGCCTGGGGCAGGTGAGGGGGGAGTGGGGCGGTGATGGCAACAGGGGTGTTTATGGTGAGTAGTGCACTGTTGTGTGGTGCTGGCGCCCAACATGGAGGAGGTGCCTGGAGCAGGTGAGGTGAGGGGGAGGGGGGGAAAGGGCGGTGATGGTAACAGGGATATTTATGGTGAGTAGTGCACAGGTGTGTGGTGCTGGCGCCCAATCTGGAGGAGGTGCCTGGGGCAGGTGAGGAGAGGGAGGGGCAGGAGTGGGGGGTTGAGTGGGGGGGGGAAGAGAATGGAATGGCAGTGTAAGTACGGGGTATGATGGAGAGTAGTGTTGTGCGCAAGTGCATGCGGATGGAAGGGCCGAATGTGTGGTGTTGGCGCCTAATGTGGTGGAGGTGCCTTGGTAAGGAGAGGAAAGGGGGTGATGGGAGGTGAGAGAAGGTGAAGCGGTTCTCATGGGTGTCACGGTTGTACACTCGTGTGTGGTGCGGGCTCCCAGTGTGGAGCAGGTGTGTGGTGTGGAGCAGGTGTGTGGTGTGGAGCAGGTGTGTGGTGTGGAGCAGGTGTGTGGTGTGGAGCAGGTGTGTGGTGTGGAGCAGGTGTGTGGTGTGGAGCAGGTGTGTGGTGTGGAGCAGGTGTGTGGTGTGGAGCAGGTGTGTGGTGTGGAGCAGGTGTGTGGTGTGGAGCAGGTGTGTGGTGTGGAGCAGGTAAGGATGCGATCTTGATGATGGTGAGTGGTGCATGGTGCATGGGATCCTGCTGGACGGCCATGTGTGTGGTCTTGATGCCTAGTGTGTGTGAGGTGTCTTGCACAGGGGGTGTGTGGTGCTGGAGCCTAAGGTGGAGGAGGTGAGTGGAGGAGGTGAGTGGGGGAGGTGAGTGGGGGGCGTAGGGGAGGAAGCGAGCGTTAAAAGGGGGAAGAGAGTGGCAGGTGAAGGGGGGAGCAATTCGCAGGTGAAGAGGGGGAGAGGGGAAAGGGAGAGTAACGGGTGTGAGGGAGAGCAGTGCACGAGTGCATGGTACAAGTGAGTGGGGGTGGGGGGGGGATGGTGATGGTTAGGGGTGTGATTGTGGTGAGTAGTGCATGGGTATGTGGTACTGGGAGGGAAGGCAAGTGAGTGGTGCTGGGTCAGGTGAGGAGAGCGAGGGGCAGGTGGGGTGGAGAGAGGAAAGGGCAGGTGACGGTAAATGGTGCACCAACGCGTGGTGCATGGAAGAGGGAGGAGGGGATAGGAGGGTAAGCGAGCGGTGGGGAACGTGAGTGGGGGACGAAGGGGAGTGGTACGCAGCGGGAGAGCCAAATGTGTGGTGCTGGCGGCCATGGTGGAGGAGGTGTTGTGGGCAGGGAAGGGGGGAGGGGGGGCAGGGAATGTGGGGGTGAGGGAAGGGGGGGGGGGAGACGAAGGATGGAGCGTGATGATGTTGAGTTTTTTCATTCAACATTCAGACCATCCCTATCCACCCATCCCACCCTACTTCCACCCCACCCCAACCCACCCTATTCAACCCTCCGTCCTGTCCCCAGGTGGTCTCGATGCGGCCCTCTCGTCCATCCTATCAGACGCCGCCACGCGCAGCATTCCCGTGGTCGTGGCTCTCTCCAGACGCTGCCTTGCCAAGGTGACTGCAGGTGTTGAATGCGGTGGGGTGTGGTGCTATCAGGCAGCGCACGGTAAGGTGGGGAATGGAGTGAGAGCATGTGTGAGGGGTAAGGTAATGCTCGCAGCATCCCTGCGGCAGTGCCTCTCTCTTCACTTGATATCGATTTTGCTATCACGCGGCTATTTCGAGACGTCTCAAAACAGATATCTATCACCTCGCAGCATCCGTGTGGTAACGGCTCTCTCCACACGCCTCCTGGTCAAGGTGAGTGCTGGCCAAGGTGCGTACAATACAGGCTGACGTGACGTGTTGGTTGGTTCTACCAGGTAACACACGGGGACGGGGGTGGGAAATCAACACACAGGGGAGTACATACGTGATGCAACACACAGGTAATCCCGCCCTCGCTGCCGGGTGAGTGCAATGGTCATTCTGTACAGCAAGGGGGGCGTGCGTGCCTTGCAGTTCCCACACTCGCTCAATCTCTTTCTCCTCACCTCTGCCTTGCACTGCATTGCACTCTGCCAGGCACTGAATCGCCCGTGCTGCCGTGTGAGTTGCGTCGCCATTCCGGACGACAATGGGGGTGTGCTTGCTTCGCAGTGCTCGCACTCACTCGCTCTCTCCTCACCTCTGCCTTGCACTGCATTGCACTCTGCCAGGCACTGAATCGCCCGTGCTGCCGTGTGAGTTGCGTCGCCATTCCGGACGACAATGGGGGTGTGCTTGCTTCGCAGTGCTCGCACTCACTCGCTCTCTCCTCACCTCTGCCTTGCACTGCATTGCACTCTGCCAGGCACTGAATCGCCCGTGCTGCCGTGTGAGTTGCGTCGCCATTCCGGACGACAATGGGGGTGTGCTTGCTTCGCAGTGCTCGCACTCACTCGCTCTCTCCTCACCTCTGCCTTGCACTGCATTGCACTCTGCCAGGCACTGAATCGCCCGTGCTGCCGTGTGAGTTGCGTCGCCATTCCGGACGACAATGGGGGTGTGCTTGCTTCGCAGTGCTCGCACTCACTCGCTCTCTCCTCACCTCTGCCTTGCACTGCATTGCACTCTGCCAGGCACTGAATCGCCCGTGCTGCCGTGTGAGTTGCGTCGCCATTCCGGACGACAATGGGGGTGTGCTTGCTTCGCAGTGCTCGCACTCACTCGCTCTCTCCTCACCTCTGCCTTGCACTGCATTGCACTCTGCCAGGCACTGAATCGCCCGTGCTGCCGTGTGAGTTGCGTCGCCATTCCGGACGACAATGGGGGTGTGCTTGCTTCGCAGTGCTCGCACTCACTCGCTCTCTCCTCGCCTCTGCCTTGCACTGCATTGCACTCTGCCAGGCACTGAATCGCCCGTGCTGCCGTGTGAGTTGCGTCGCCATTCCGGACGACAATGGGGGTGTGCTTGCTTCGCAGTGCTCGCACTCACTCGCTCTCTCCTCGCCTCTGCCTTGCACTGCATTGCACTCTGCCAGGCACTGAATCGCCCGTGCTGCCGTGTGAGTTGCGTCGCCATTCCGGACGACAATGGGGGTGTGCTTGCTTCGCAGTGCTCGCACTCACTCGCTCTCTCCTCACCTCTGCCTTGCACTGCATTGCACTCTGCCAGGCACTGAATCGCCCGTGCTGCCGTGTGAGTTGCGTCGCCATTCCGGACGACAATGGGGGTGTGCTTGCTTCGCAGTGCTCGCACTCACTCGCTCTCTCCTCACCTCTGCCTTGCACTGCATTGCACTCTGCCAGGCACTGAATCGCCCGTGCTGCCGTGTGAGTTGCGTCGCCATTCCGGACGACAATGGGGGTGTGCTTGCTTCGCAGTGCTCGCACTCACTCGCTCTCTCCTCACCTCTGCCTTGCACTGCATTGCACTCTGCCAGGCACTGAATCGCCCGTGCTGCCGTGTGAGTTGCGTCGCCATTCCGGACGACAATGGGGGTGTGCTTGCTTCGCAGTGCTCGCACTCACTCGCTCTCTCCTCACCTCTGCCTTGCACTGCATTGCACTCTGCCAGGCACTGAATCGCCCGTGCTGCCGTGTGAGTTGCGTCGCCATTCCGGACGACAATGGGGGTGTGCTTGCTTCGCAGTGCTCGCACTCACTCGCTCTCTCCTCACCTCTGCCTTGCACTGCATTGCACTCTGCCAGGCACTGAATCGCCCGTGCTGCCGTGTGAGTTGCGTCGCCATTCCGGACGACAATGGGGGTGTGCTTGCTTCGCAGTGCTCGCACTCACTCGCTCTCTCCTCACCTCTGCCTTGCACTGCATTGCACTCTGCCAGGCACTGAATCGCCCGTGCTGCCGTGTGAGTTGCGTCGCCATTCCGGACGACAATGGGGGTGTGCTTGCTTCGCAGTGCTCGCACTCACTCGCTCTCTCCTCACCTCTGCCTTGCACTGCATTGCACTCTGCCAGGCACTGAATCGCCCGTGCTGCCGTGTGAGTTGCGTCGCCATTCCGGACGACAATGGGGGTGTGCTTGCTTCGCAGTGCTCGCACTCACTCGCTCTCTCCTCACCTCTGCCTTGCACTGCATTGCACTCTGCCAGGCACTGAATCGCCCGTGCTGCCGTGTGAGTTGCGTCGCCATTCCGGACGACAATGGGGGTGTGCTTGCTTCGCAGTGCTCGCACTCACTCGCTCTCTCCTCACCTCTGCCTTGCACTGCATTGCATTCTGCCAGGCACTGAATCGCCCGTGCTGCCGTGTGAGTTGCGTCGCCATTCCGGACGACAATGGGTGTGTGCTTGCTTCGCAGTGCTCGCACTCACTCGCTCTCTCCTCACCTCTGCCTTGCACTGCATTGCATTCTGCCAGGCACTGAATCGCCCGTGCTGCCGTGTGAGTTGCGTCGCCATTCCGGACGACAATGGGTGTGTGCTTGCTTCGCAGTGCTCGCACTCACTCGCTCTCTCCTCACCTCTGCCTTGCACTGCATTGCACTCTGCCAGGCACTGAACCGCCCTCGGTGTAAAGTGAGTGCCGCGGCCATTCTGGACGACAATGGGGTGCACAGGCTGCATGGCAGTGCCCTCACCCTCTGCTCACCCACACACTCCGCCTCTCTCGTGCCCGTCACCCTTTTCCCATGCGCCAGGCACTGAATCGCCCTCGGTGTAAAGCGAGTGCTGTGGCCATTCTGGATGATAATGGAAACGTGCCTCACTCTCTCCTCCCCTCTTCCTTGCTCTGCATTGCCCTGACAGGCTCTAAACCGCCCTGCCATTCTGGACGACAACGGGGCGCACAGGCTGCTCAAGAGCGTGCTGGCAGAGGCAGAGAGGGGGAGGGAGATGTGGCGGGAGGGGCAGAAAGGGGAGGAAGGGCAGGAAACAGTTGGTACATGAGTGCTGTACGTGTATTGCACTCATCCACACGACAATGGGGCGCACCGGCTGCTCAAGAGCTTGCTGGCGGAGGCAGAGAGGGGGAGGGCGTTATGGCGGGATGGGCAGGGGGGGAAGGAATCGCAGGAAACAGTTGGTACATGAGTGCTGTACGTGTATTGCCGCCACTGGCACACTAGTGGGACGCACAGGCTGCTCAAGAGCGTGCTGGCAGAGGCAGAGAAGGGGGGGAAGCTGAGGCGGGAGGGGGAGGAAGGGCAGCGAGGGCAGGATGGGCAGAAAGGACAGGAAGGGCAGGAAGCAGTTGGTTCGTGAGTGGTTGGGAGGGGTACCGTGCCACTGTGCCCACTTGCACACACTTACTCCCATCCTACCAGCCAGGTCAAGCCGCCTACTCACTGACTTTTGAGGTGCCTCAACGGGTGGAGGAGGAGGCAATTGGTGTGTGAGTGGTGGGGAGGAGGGGGACCGTGCCAATGCGCGCGCGTGACGTGCACCTCCTCCTTGCTGGAATAAATCCTTAGTGTATGTCGAAGGATCGTATCGTAACACTCAGATCCCCAACACTCCCATCGTACAAGCCAGCTCAAGCTGCCTCCCTGCTGGTAGCTGCTACTGTCACCCCTCGTCGCAACGTGCGGTGTTGAAGCAGGTGCCAGCATGTGTGGCATGTCAAGCGCGTGTACATAATGACTGGATTTCAGGAGTTGTGGTGACTTTCGAGTCGAGGTGACTTTTGGGTTGACTCAAAAGTCACATAGGCGCCAGCATGTGTGGTGTGTCAAGTGCGTGTACATAATGACTGATTTTCAGGAGTTGTGGTGTGGTGTGGGCTTGAGAAAGAGTTTTTCTTCTGTGTGTCTCCGTGTGAAACGCCTCTTTTTGTCTTGAAGTTGAACATTCAATGGTGTTTGTCTAAGGAATCGCTTTTCACTTGCTGAATGCGCAAGAAAACCTCTTCAAAATAAAATGCTTTTGCGCTTTGAGATCATGGAGGGTAACTTGTAATGTAATTAACGTCTCCAATTTTGTAGACACAAAACATAACATAGGCACACAAAAAAATCATAAAGAAACGCGGATGTTCTCTTGAGGGAGTTGTAGAGGTGCGGAGAAGTGCTGCATTTCCCAGAGGCCAGTATTGGTTGTTCCTTCCATGGCGTTTCCAGAAGCATCTCCCCTCCACGTGCCTCAACACACCACCCGCCAATAACCCAACGCAGTAAATTAGGACGGTGAAGTAACGCCGTAAAGCGCTCCCTCCGATCCGAAGCAAGTCGTTTACTGGAACGATGAGCTTCCTTATGAAGAATGGCGAATGGCGAGGAAGCGGAGTGGGGCCGACGACGGCAGGAAAAGGAGACTGGTCGGCGGTAACCCTTTTTCGCTGCGCCTCAAAAGTCGAAGTGGGGTCGACGAGGGCATGAAAAAGAGACGAGTCGATAGCCCTCGTGGAGCAACTTTCTTGTTCAGTCGGAGGGAGCTTGGTAGTGAAAAGGTTGGCGCAATGTGCTCTTTTCAGCCTGCAGTTCTCGTATCGCTTCTGCTTATATCGGGGTTGCTCTTATCGGGACAACTCGGTGCTGTAGAAGCGACGGGAGGAGCCGGCGAAATGAGGCGAATTTTGGCGAGGAAAGATCTTAAGGGTTCGGATGTGTCGTCGTCGTCATCGCCTGCTCTCTCCGCAGCCGCAGCATTATCAGCAGCGGCCAAGACTATAGCAGCATCTGCTGCAGCAGCAGCGGCAACCACGGCCAAAACTACAGCAGCAGCGGCAACCACGGCCAAAACTACAGCAGCAGCGGCAACGGCAACTACGGCCAAGACCACAACAGCACCAGCAGCGGTGGCTGCAGCAGCTGGAAAACCAAGCGATGGCGTATTTGGTGTGATCATCAGCAGCAGTGCAAGCAGCAGCAGCAGTAACAGCAGCAGCAACGGCACCAGCACTAGCGGTAGCCAAAGCGACAGCTCTGAAAAGCAAACCCGGACGAACCAATCCCAAGGCCAGCAGCAGCAATCGCAGCACCACCTGCTGCAGCCCTTGGAATCGTACGGCCTAGATATTATCGACCTGAACCCCCATGATTCCCGCCACGTCACTGCTTCCATCCCCGTTATGGCACCCTCCGTTATAAGCACAGGTCGTTACAGTCACTCCCAGGCAGCAGCAGATTCCGCAGCAGCAGCAGGAGCGGGAGCAGATATCACCAACGGTAACGCAGGCATTACATTGGGCGTTACATCTCACTCGGGCGTTACATCTATGTCGCTAGACTCGCCCCCACCGCACACCCAATGGCACGTCGCCAGCTGTCAGTCCCCCCCCACGTGCCCCCGCATGGCCCCCTGCCTTGGTCCCCCAGGCCTGCAGCCGCCAGGGTTGGGGGAAGATGGGGGAAACGATCCGGGGGAAGCAAACGGGGGAAATGGGGAGGCGGGGGAAGCGGGGGAGGGGCGACTGGGGGAAGGCAGCAGCAGCAGCGACAGGGGGAGTGAGGGGACGGGCAGGGGAGGGGGCGTGTGGGTGTGTGAGAACCCACAGTTCGTGGATTTTGTGGGGGCGGGCGGGGGAGCCAGGGGGAGCGGGGGAAGCGGGGGAAGCACGGGGGGGGGCGGGGGAATGCAGTGGGCGGAGTGGGCAGGGCGCGTGCATGAGCTGGGAGGCGTTTTTGTGAGCGGCGAGGGGCGGGTGTTTAACTCAACCCATGTGTTCCATGCCAATGGCTGCCATGGGCTGAACCAGGTGAGGCGGATGCTGGGTTACCATGTAACATGCGTGCTGGGTGACCTGCCAGGCGTGTCTGTGAGCGGTGAAGGGCAGGTGTTCAACTCGACCCACGTGTTCCATGCCAATGGGTGCCATGGGCTGAACCAGGTGAGGGCACATGGTGGGTTACTGTGTAACACGCGTGCTGGTTACAACTGAATGATAGGCATGCTTGTGAGCTCGTGAGCATGGGAGAGCAGCGTGTGTTCAATGCGACCCACGTGTTCCATGCGAATGGGTGCCACGGGCTGAACCACGTGAGGCGCGGGTTATGAGCCAAGCCCATAACCAGGTGATGCCTGCTCCAGGTGCTGCTTTCGGAGAACCGCTCATTATTCTTTCAATCATGTCAATTTCCACCATTCACCCGCTTATTTTCCCTCTCTGCTCCTTTTCTCCTTCCCCCGCCTCCCCTCTCCTCCTTACAATTTTCCTTTTATTCTTATTCTGGCTGTGCCTCCCACTCTCCCTCCCTCCTTCCCTCCGTCCCTCCCCCTTCCCTCCCTCCAAGCACGGTAGTTCTTCTACCCTTTTGGCACCCGGGTAACTATCCACGATACCCTCGTCAATCTCCTCGTCCCAAAAGGCCACGTGGCAGCTGCTGACGTGGCAGGTAGCAGAGACAGGAGCGGAGCGACGGTGTTACAGCTGGCACCGCTGCTGCTGCAAGTGGCACCGTTTTTGAGAGAGAACCCGGAGTTGCCTCTGCTGCTGGGTCAAGCATGGGTAAGTGCGGTGCAGTCTGTTTTTGAGGCGCCGAGTGTTTGTGTGCGCGCATCATCCTGTTCTGTGTATGCGATTCATGCTACTGCCCTCTGGCCTCCACACTCCCCCCCTCTGTGTGTCTGTGTGTGCGTGTGTGCACGCTTCACTCAGATTCCCCGCCTGCTCGCCCCGGCATCTCTCCGCGCCACCATCATTGCTCCGCCTGCTGCTGACGAGCTCTACTTTGTCAGACGCCTCATTCAGGTGATTCTTCAGGTGACTCAGGTGACTCTCCAGGTGATTTCACAGATGAGGCGTTCTTTTACATTCACGTCTTGCCCCGCCCAAATCCCCCCGTTTTCTCCTCCCCCCCATAGACATTCTTCCCACTTTGCCTTTCGCTCCCCCCCTCCCCTTCACCCAGCCCACATTCGCCAGCACTGCTGCCATCTGAGGTCTGTACCGCTCTTATCTCATGTGATGAGGGTGTGCTCTTATCTCCGCTCCCCCTACCTCCTCTCATCCTCATCACATGTCTTGCCCCTTGTCCTCCTCCCCGCCTCTCCTTCCCCTTCCACAGCCCACAGATCAGCACTGCGGGCGTCTGAGCCCCTCAGTGTGGGCCCACCTCCGCTCCTATTTCCTCCTCGCATCCTCATCACATGTCCTGCCCCCCGTTCTCCTCTCTGACTCCTCTCTTCCCTTTCCCCCAGCCCACCCAGCAGCACTGCGGGCGTCTGAGCCTCTCAGTGTGGGCCCACCTCCGCTCCTCCTTCCTCCTCCACCCCTCCTCTAACCACCTGCCCTGCTGCTGATTTGGTCGCTGCGGCCGCCAGCGGGCGGTGCAGACCAGGACAAAAGCAGCCACCCGGAGAGTAGTGAAAGGGAGGATGACAGTAGTGGTGTTGGAGAGGAGAGTGAGGGGAGGGATAGGGTGGAAGGAGAGGGAGAGGGAGAGGGAGAGGAAGGGGGAGAAGGGAGCGTGAAGGGAGTGAGGGAGGAGGGGAAGGTGGTGGTGGTGGCGATGCCACGTGGCGTCCACATGGCGGAGTTTGATTGGCTCGTGGGTCTGCTGAGGCAGCAGTTTGGGGAGAGCAACGTCACTGTGGTGCAGAGGCTCGCATGGAAGCAAGGTATTGAGGGGTGCTGAGGTGTGATAAGGGGCGCTGGGTGATGAGGGTGATGAGGGGTGATGAGGGGTGATGAGGGGTGATGAGGGTGATGAGGGGTGATGAGAGGTGATGAGGGGTGATGAGGGGTGATGAGGGGGATGAGGGGTAATAATGGGGGGTAAAGAGGGGTGATGGGGGGTAATGATGGGTGATAGGGGGTAATTTGGGGTGATGGGTGGGTGGTGGGTACTGCTGGGTGGTGATGGGGTTGATGAGGGATAATTGAAGGCCGTGGCCCAAGTTGTCCATGACAGGGGAGGAAGTTGTCAAAGTTATTTTGCCGGGTTCGTTTTTTTCAGCACACCCAGCCAATTCTCGTCTTCCCCCGTGGTGGGTGCTTGACAGTCTCAAATTGCAAGTGCACTTCTTTCAGGCTTGCAAAAAGTGAAACATCAAGTTTTATAACTTCACCTGTGCGCCTTGCAATTTGGGACACGGCACAGGTGGACATATGGTGTGCAATGTGCAGTGATTGGGGGTATTGGATGGAAACTGTGGTATGTCTCCTGCCATGCCTTCACTCCCTCCCTCTTGCCATGCCCTCACTCCCTCTTTCCATATCCTCACTCCCTCATGCCACCACTCACCTCTCCTCTCCTTTCCTTGTCCCCTTCTCCTTCCCCCAACAGCACGAACAATCCTCCCGCGCACCTCTCTCCTCGTCTCCCTCCCCCTCCCCTCCCTCCTCCCCCTCCTCATCTACTCTCGCCCCAACTCCTCCCTCCTCCTCCTCCAACCCCCCACTGGTCTTGCCGTCTCCCACACTCTCTCCTCCTCTTCTTCAGCCTCCTCTTCCTCTCTCCCTCCTTTGCCATCCCATCCCATTCTCTCCACTCCCTCGCCCGAGCCGTTCCTTTCGTCTTCTTTCATCGTCCAATCTCTGAGCGCCACGTGTCACCTGCACGTCGTCTCGGTGCCGTCCGAGCGGCTGAATTTCAAGCCTCTGCCGAAGCTGTGGCTCGTCACCGAGCCTGAGGCTCGGGAGGATGGGGAAATGGATCTGGGAGATTCCCAAGGAGGAGGTTCGGCAGTAGGTGCGGAGGGTGGAGGTTGGGGGGTGGATGAAAGGAGGGAAAATGGTGATGAGGGCAATGATAATGCTGACTGGGGTGAGGAAGAGGAGGAAGAGGGGGGATTAGGGAACAAGTCTATGCAGGTAGAGGGGAAGCGTGATGAAGTGGAGGAGAGGAGAGAGAAAGAGGAGGATGTGGGAGGAATCCGGATTACCTGGAGCAGGGAGGACCTGGGGGAGGCTGTATCTGAGGCGTGCCTTCACCTGGGCTTGGATTGTCTTGGTCAGGGAACCAGAGGAACGGCAGCGGCAGAGGAGAGAGTGAGTGAAGCAGAGAGGAAGAAGAGGGAGAGGCTGGAGAAGCGATTGCGTAGGCGGGAGGCTGAGGCCTGGAAGGTTCCTGGAAGCTGGCTGCGGCGTCGACGGGATGTTAGGGTGTTTGAGCGGTGGCTAGAGTGCATCAGCTGCGAGGGAAACTGGGTGTATAACCCGACTCCGAGGGTTTTACCCTGGGAATACCCGGGGTTTATGAACTTGTGCGATCACAGGCAAGCAGACGAAGGAGTGGGGGTGTCTGGGATAAAAGCGGATGAGATTGTAAGGAGGGGTGGGAGCGAGGAGGAATGGACAGTGAGAGAATCTCTCAAATACGAGTGGAGGACGCCACCTGGCAAATGCCCATTGGGCGGCTTGAAGCCGTTTGACGGGGCGGCGTTTTGCAAGCGGGCGAGGGAGGAGAGAGGAACGTTCACCATCGTGTTTCTCGGAGACTCGCTGACCTTCCAGATGGCTGGAAGTTTTTTGAACGGGCTGCTTCGGCACGTTGCCAAGCCTGCGTCCTGGGCTGTGGACGAATCCGAACCTAAGCAGTGCGTGGATTGGCTTCTTGGGAGAGGAGGTGGAGGAACCGGAGCAGGAGCAGGAGTGGGTGAGGATGGTTCCAAGAAACTGCGTCGCGCTGCTCGCTGGAGGAATTTAAGAAGTCAGGATGGCAATGCTAGTGCTGCTACTGGAGCTGATAATATGGGGGTAGAAGAGGAAGGAGAGGAGGAAGAGGAGGAGGACGAGGAGGAGGAGGATGGGGGTGTTGCTCCAGTGGTGGTGACACCACATCCGTTCTGCAAGGTCTACGTGTTTCACGAGAATGTGTGTCCGGGAGTGAAAATTCATGTGATTCGCAACGACCACCTTTATATCCAGGACCCTGATCTGACCAACTCAGCTGACGGCAGCAGCAACGGGAGTGCGACAGGTGGCAGCGTGCCATTTGACCACATGCCGTGGCACTTGTATGATGGGTTGGTGAACGCTGATGTGGTGATAGTTAACCGCGGCGCACACTATATTGGTGGGAGGGATTTCGAGCTGTCGGTGCGAGCTGCCATGAGGCTGCTTCGCAGGAAGCTTCCTCGCGCGCTTCTCGTGTACAGGAATTCGCCGCCCGGCCATGTGAACTGTTCATCATACGACCGGCCAATCAAAATCCGGCAGGATCCGGCGACGTTGCCGTTCCATTGGGATACGTTTTCGGCGCAGAATGATATTGCAAGGGAGATAGCAGAGGAGGTGAAAGCGGTATACATGGATGTTGATACAATGACGGCGCTAAGGCCAGATGGCCATAAGGGGTACGTGAAGGAGAGGGGGATAACAGATTGTCTGCATTATTGCACACCCGGTCCTGTTGATACCTGGGTTGAAATTTTTGGGAACATTATAGCCCATGGGGTGTTCAATGAAGGCTTTGAAAAGTAGACACACATTGTACTAATATGATATTTCTTTCTGGTTCAGTTACGCTGGAATATAGTAATGATAAACAGTAATACTCGAGCGAGCCGAGTTTTAAACAAAACGGTGCTGTTAATCCGAGAAGATCCTGACAGCCGCGGCAGCATTCAAGGAACAAACAAGTGTTGAGATCCTGCTTCGTGTCGAAGACGTTTCGCCCCTCTGTCGTCTTGGTTACAACCGCGTGTTGCCTGTTTGTCCGTCAAAGAGTGCGCACCAGGTTCTAAAACTGTTGCAGAAACGTTTCTAAACACGCCCTCACAAAATCTCGTTTGCTTCCCCGTCCGTCTGTTTCACCATACTGGTTTGGCAGGCTGGTTGGTTGGTGGTGCTGGGCCTCTCGGGACAAGAATCGAGATATGGTGCAGCTCACGCGCTTTCGCATTCCCCTGGTTGAGTTGTAACTATGACGAGCAGACTACGACAGGATATGACCAACGGAACACCAAAATGTATATAAGCTCCGCCGTTTCGCGGGAACAGCGAATTCATCTCTCAACGTGCACTGTGCAAACACATCGCGCCGCGCACCCCTCGCTCAAGGTAGATTGAATTTCGTCGTGCAGGGGTTCTCTCCTTTCTTTCCGCTGCCTCCTTACCCGGCGTTACTTCCGGCCGTCAGACCTCTCATCCCGTGCATTTCCGTCCGTCAAATTTCCAAACGGTGCGGCATTTCGCTGACGTCAAAGCGCTAGCTTCAGATTCTTCAGTTGGTAGACCCATTACCACTGCCTGTCGTCGCATCCGCCGTCGCCGCTCGCTCTTCCCGTCACGCCCGCGGCTTCCGCCACGCAGCAACTTCCGCCAGGCCTGAGACTCCCGTCACTCCCGCGGCCTTTGAGACGTCTCAAAAGTCGCTCGCTCTTCCGTCACGCCCGCGGCCTTATTTGCTGGCGTCGCATCCTCCATCGCCGCGCGTTCTCCCCACCACGCCCGCGGCTTCCGCCATGCCCGCCGCTTCCGCCTACGCTTAGGACTTCCGCACGGCGGAACAGGAAATCGTTGCGGGCGCGCTCTTCTCTCCCCCCATCACCATGCGTCGCGCCGGGCATCCGCTTCCGAGGGCGCTCCTGATTGGTGAGGGGGTTGAGAGGAGAGCGCGGTGAAAGTAGTGAAGGCAGTGAGCGGGTTGAGGGAGTTGAGAGGGGTTGAGAGGGTTGCTTGGGATCCCATTTTCCCCGACCCCTCACTCGCATTGCACTACCCTCACGCGTGCATTACGCACGCCTCACTGCATAGTGTAATGAGTGCCGTGTGCGGTGTTTGAGCATTCTCAAAAATCAGCTGAGGGCAGTGAGGGTGGTGCGGGCAGTGAGGGAGGTGGGGGTTTGGTTGCAAATTCCCGCTCTCTCCGACTTCTCACGCGGTCGGTGAGGCATGAGTTAGATTCGTCACTGATGTGCTCCCCTATCAGTGTGCTCCCCCGTTCCCCCCACCCACACCATGCTTTGCACTCGGCCCCCCCCCATTCCCTGGTCCGCAATTACCTGTTGCCGCCGCCATGGACCCTGTGTGTCCTCCCTGTTTTCACCATTCCCTGTCTGTGTGTCAACCCTGTGTGTCCTCCCTGTTTTCACCATTCCCTGTCTGTGTGTCAACCCTGTGTGTCCTCCCTGTTTTCACCATTCCCTGTCTGTGTGTCAACCCTGTGTGTCCTCCCTGTTTTACCATTCCCTGTCTGTGTGTCCACCCTGTGTGTCCTCCCTGTTTTACCATTCCCTGTCTGTGTGTCAACCCTGTGTGTCCTCCCTGTTTTCACCATTCCCTGTCTGTGTGTCAACCCTGTGTGTCCTCCCTGTTTTACCATTCCCTGTCTGTGTGTCAACCCTGTGTGTCCTCCCTGTTTTACCATTCCCTGTCTGTGTGTCCTCCCTGTGTGTCCACCCTGTGTGTCTCCCCGCAGTGCTGCTCTGGGTGCTGCCGCTTGCCACACTGCTTCAGCCCTCTTCTGCTGTTACAAGTACGTCCTCGTTACAAGCAGATGCGGTGTCAATTAAGAGCATATGCTCTTATGCAGATCTGTCAGTTGGTCGTTCTGTGTCAGATCTGGTCGTTCTCTTTGTTTCCTGCGTCCTCCCTTGCTCACTCTCCCCTTCCTTTTCCCCTCACTCGCCTCCCACCCACCTCACTCGCCTCCCACCCACCTCACTCGCTTCCCCTTCTCCCATACGGTACGGTCCCCTTCTCCCATACGGTCCCCTTCTCCCATACGGTACGGTCCCCTTCTCCCATACGGTCCCCTTCTCCCATACGGTACGGTCCCCTTCTCCCATACGGTCCCCTTCTCCCATACGGTACGGTCCCCTTCTCCCATACGGTCCCCTTCTCCCATACGGTACGGTCCCCTTCTCCCATACGGTCCCCTTCTCCCATACGGTACGGTCCCCTTCTCCCATACGGTCCCCTTCTCCCATACGGTCCCCTTCTCCCATACGGTCCCCTTCTCCCATACGGTCCCCTTCTCCCATACGGTCCCCTTCTCCCATACGGTCCCCTTCTCCCATACGGTACGGTCCCCTTCTCCCATACGGTACGGTCCCCTTCTCCCATACGGTCCCCTTCTCCCATACGGTCCCCTTCTCCCATACGGTACGGTCCCCTTCTCCCATACGGTACGGTCCCCTTCTCCCATACGGTCCCCTTCTCCCATACGGTCCCCTTCTCCCATACGGTCCCCTTCTCCCATACGGTCCCCTTCTCCCATACGGTCCCCTTCTCCCATACGGTCCCCTTCTCCCATACGGTCCCCTTCTCCCATACGGTCCCCTTCTCCCATACGGTCCCCTTCTCCCATGCAGCTGGCCTGCCACCATCCAGAGCTGCAGGCGGCAGTGCAGTGAGCATGGGCGTGCACCAACCCCACTCACTCGCCTCCCACCCACCTCCCTCACCAACCCCTTTTTGCCTCTTGCGGCCCCCACCAAGGGTGGATGGGGTGGGGGGTAACTCCGACTCCCCACGAGCACGCTATTCGTTTCTGTGGTGGAGATTTTTCCCCGACCACCCTCCTGCTTTTACCACTTGCCCCCCTCTCACCAACCCTCCTTGCCCTTCTCTCTCCCCACATCTCCGTGCCACACCCTCCCACCAGTGCGCTATTCGTTGCTGTGGTGGCGAGTCGATTTTTGAGCCACACTCGCTTTATGACTGAACAGCCCATTCCACGCCCTCCCACCAGTGCGCTATTTGCTGCTGTGGTGGCTAATCACCCCCACCCCACCAACCCCTGCCCATTGCCCCTATCTCACCACCCACCCCCCCACCAGCGCACTACTCGTTGCTGCGCTGGAGAATCGCCCCCACCAGCGTCGTGCTTTCTCAACCCTCTCTCCAACCAACCCCCTTGCCCCTTGCACTGTTCTCCCACCTTGCCCCTTTGGCCACCCCCATCAGCACACTACTCGTCGCTGCGCTGGAGAATTGCCCCCACCAGCGTGGTGGTTTCAACACCTTTCCCAAACCCCTTGCCCCTTGGCACTTTCTCCTCCCTTCATCACCCGCCACCCCCACCACCAGCGCACTACTCGACACTTCGCCCCCACCAGCGTCGTGCCTGCCACCACTGGCACCTTCTCTCCTCCTCACCCACCCCCCATTCCCCTTGCACTCTCTTGCGCCTTGCCCCCATCTCACCACCACCCTCACCAGCACACTACTCGTCACTGCGGTGGAGAATCGCCCCCACCAGCGTGGTGCTTGCTCTCAATTCCTCTCAACTAACAGCCCCATTGCTCCTTGCTCTCACCATTGCCCTCCCTCACCCCCACCAGCGCACTACTCATCGTTACGGTGGAGAATCGCCCCCACCAGTGTTGTGCCAGCCACCACAGGCACCTTCGCTCTCACTGTTGACACCCCAGACAGGTACTGTGGGACAAAGCCGTTCACTCTCACATTCGCGCATGCCTTGAGTCCACCAGCGTGGTCCCAGCCACCACAGGCTCATTCGCTCTCACTGTGGACACGCCAGACAGGTAGTGTGGGGGGTTAGCTGTATCTTTCTGTACTAGTGTGTTCTGAATCGAATCGCCCCCACCAGCGTTGTGCCAGCCACGACAGGCACATTCTCTCTCACTGTTGACACCCCTGACAGGTATGGCTGCAGTCGAGGTAGTGTGGGGGATAGCTGTTCACTCTCTCAGCCTCAGATACACGCTTTGAGCCCACCAGCGTTGTGCCAGCTACCACAGGCACCTTCGCTCTCACTGTTGACACACCTGACAGGTACTGCTGCTGTTGAGGTAGTGTGGGGGATATCTGTTCACTCTCTCAGTCTCATTTACGCATCGCCCCAACCAGCGTTGTGCCAGCTACCACAGGTAGACATGATCACGAGTCGAGTCGAGCCGAGTCACCTCGAATCGCGGTCGAGTCGGGAGTTGCGTCGAGTCGAGTCGAGTCGAGCCATAGTCGAGTCAGTTTTCCGGAACTGCCGACTCGTGCTCGACTTCTGAAATCGAGTCATGCCTTGACTCGAGCACGAGTCAACAACTCGCGAGTCAGTCTTGACTCGACTTAACCGTAAAGAATTTTTAAGGGCCCCAAAAGTCGTGTCCTGATTCGTAGCTAGCATGCAAGGTAGGAATGACAAAATCCCGTCCCTTCCCCTTTCAGCACAGGTAAATTGATGCGCACCCAAAATTGCGTGAAAGGCGGAAATTGGGTGTCGGCGGAATTTGCGTGACAGGCGGAAATTGGGTGTCGGGGGAATTTGATGTGTGACAGGCGGAAATTGAGTGTTGGGGGGGGGATTTGCATGTCGAGCGGAAATTGAGTGTCAAGGAAGATTTGCTAGTCAAGCGGAAATTGAGTGATGGTCAGGAATTCGGTGACGGGAGAAATTGCATGAGGAAAGGAGGGGGAATTGACAACGGGAATCCACGTGGATAAAGTTGGTGGCCCTCGAGTCAGGCCAGCTCGAATCGAGTCAGCCGACTCGCCGACTCGTGGCTCACCAGACTGTCCAAAGTCGAGTCAGGCGATGCATCGAGATTTCTCCTCAGTTCGACTCGACTCGACTCTACTCGAGTCAGGAAAATAAAATAACTGACTCGACTCGACCTAAAGTCGAGTCGAGCCAGCGAGTCGAGCTAAAACTCGCCTCGATTGATCATGTCTAACCACAGGCACCTTCGCTCTCACTGTTGACACACCTGACAGGTACGGTGGGTAGGCTGTAGCTGTGCCCGTGTGCTCTGAGTCAACTCAAAACCCACCAGCATGGTGCCAGCCACCACAGGCACATTCGCTGTCACTGTGGACACGCCAGACAGGTAATGTGGGGGATAGCTGTTCACTCTCACACTCTCAGCGTGCTGGTGTGCTCTGAGTCAACTCGAAACCAACCTGCGTTGTGCCTGCCACCACAGGCACATTCGCTCTCACTGTGGACACGCCAGACAGGTACTGTGGGGGAGGATCTTCACTCATAGTTAAAAAGAGCAACAGTGCATGAAGCAGCACTTAAGCAGCAGGATCGACTAGAAAGATCCTGCTGCTTAAGCTTCGTTTTACACATTGTTGCTATTCTAACTATAAGTGAAGATACAGGCACATTCGCTCTCACTGTGGTGTGGACAGTTACTGTGGGGGAGGTGACTGTACCGTAACCGCACTCGAATGCATGTTTGCTCTTTAGCTCTCCTCCTTGCAACCTCACCCCATTCCATGCACTACCATTATCCACCCTTTCACTTTCCCTGCTGCAAGCTGACTGCTGAGAGACTGAGTCGGCTCAACAGGAACCGTTGCCCACCTTCCTCTCAGCCTCGGTCCATCACCTACACTCTCACAGCACACACTCAAAGACTTGCTCTCTTTTCTCCGCTTTCCTCTGCTTCTCGCCCACTTGCTCCCATGCCAGCCCCCCCTCCTCTCAGCTTCAGTCCATCTCCTACACTCTCAAAGCACACACTCAGAGATCTGCTCTCTACAGCCTCATTCTTCTTTTCTACTGCTCTGCTCTTTTTCTCTTTCCCCCCATTCATTCCACTTGTCTCCCTCCCAGCCCCCCCTCCTCCCAGCCTCAGTCCATCTCCTACACTCTCACAGCACACACTCAGAGCTCCGCTCTCTACAGTGTCATTCTCTACAAGAACATCCCCCTAGGCGGTGACAGCTCCTCCTCCTCCTCCTCCTCCTCCTCCTCCTCCTCCTCCTCCTCCTCCTCCTCCTCCTCCTCCTCCTCCTCCTCCCCAGGAGCAGTAGCATTACTCCCTCAAGTGGAGCCCAAGAAAGAAGGCAGCAAGATACAAGGAGGCAGCAGAAGAGGAGACAAGGGCAAAGGGACTGGGAGCGATAGCAACGGAAGTGGCAGCAGCAACAGAGGGGGCAACAGCAGGCCGTCTTTGGTCAAGGACCCAGTCGCAATAGTGGATTCTCTAAGAACACGCCTTAAGCTCAAACCCAAGGGCAGTGTCAAGCCGTCCCCTAAGCCCAGCCGTGCACCGAGGCGTGAAGGCTTGCGGGCAGGTGCAGGTGGGGTTGTGCCTTGGGGTGTTGCTGTGGTGCAAGCAGAAGGCACAGAGGATGACAAAAGTGGGGCTGGGCAGACAGGTATGGTTGCTGAAAGCAGCAGCAGAGGCGGCGGCGGCGACAGCAGCAGCAGCAGCAGCAGCAGCAGCATGAAGGGCAGTGATGTCGTGAGGTTATTTCTGCCCTGCCCGTGGCAGGCTGTGAATGATGGGACTGGTGAGTGGGCATGTTCGGGCAGCCTAGACCTTTCCACAATCTCTGCCAACACAGGCGATGTAGAAGGATCAGGCGAAGCCTCTTCCAATGCTGATGCAGCAGCTTGGCAGGAAATATTGAAAGACCCTACTGTAGCTCTGTTTGGGGTGTACATGCAGGAGGATTTGAACCAGGGTCAGCCTGACATATTTGGTGTTTTACTAAAAGATGCTGCACAAGGGGAGGGTGGTGGCTGAACCAAATGTTGTGACTACGTTGCTACAAATGCACAATTTTTATTTGACCATTACAAAGCCTAAGCGAGGGCATCCAGCCCAATGATGGAGAGATGTCAGACATAAGAGCAGATTTTCTATGCCAAACAATACCCTGTTGATGCACTTTGTTGATTACTTTGTCTGTTTATCATATCCCCTAACTTAAAATTTACTTGGTTCTTATATCCCATTTCCAGCTTCTTTTGGTAGGGGCCGCGCGAACGCGAGCCCCCGCTGCCACAAATAATGACGTGCATCACCGGGAGTTCCGGCGTGCTAGGAGTAGGGCCGGCCGAAGTGCAATGGCCGGCCCACGCCTAGGCCATCGGCCTTCTTGATCACCGATAGACCCCGCCCAGGTAAGTATGCCTGTAGAAAGTCAAAAAATTGTTATTATTGGGACTGATTGGATGCGTGCTTTTGTGCTTTGTGGTCCTGCCCTGCCACGTGTGCTCTCAGTCTCGCGGCGAGTTGGGTTTCGTTCATTCCCAGGCCTGCCAAACCAAACCAAATTCGCCCCACCCACCATAGCAGAAAACATTCCCGCTGTGCGTCCTTCTCGCCAACCCGTAGGCTTCGTTCCACGCCATCTTATGTTATTGCGATGCCTGCGCTACTTGCGCTAATGGCGCTAGTTAGATGTGCTTCTGCCGAAGCACTCTCGTAAATGCCCCGACAGGTCTTATTCACTCATACTTTTGCAGGCGCCCGGATTAAGTTAACTCAGGAAGCCGACTGGAAAGGGGAAAGAGCGTTTCTTGTCGCGACTGATGAATGGGTAGCTTGGACACCGTGTCATGCGGAAAGACCGCCGGGCTGTTGCATTGCAGATTCTCGTCGTTGACGTTATTACCCATACATTGCGTTAGCGCACGGGTTAACCTTTCAGTACTGGCTGACAGATTCGAGGGCTGTCGCATCGCAGATTCTCGTCGCTAACGTTACCCTGACGTTGCGCGAACGCAACATCGACGTTACCCTGACGTTGCGCGAACGCAACATTAACGTTACCGGTGGCAATGTCACCACCCTAACGGTAAGTTCAGTGGCGAATGTTCAGTCATAGCTAGCAGAGTCGAGGGTTGTTAGTGCCGAGGCGCCTCAGATTCAGACTTTCAGTAGCTGACTAGCGTGTGTATGCGATCGTTTGTTAAAGTCTACTAAAGTCACCCTGAGGTCACAGTAAGTTCAGTGGGGATTTTCTGTACTCGCTGACAGCTGGGGATTTTCAGTGCTAGCTCACAGAGTCGAGGGTTCCTAGTGCCTAGGCGCCTCATATTCAGACTTTCAGGAGCTGACGGAGTCGACGGGATGCCAGCGTGCGTTTTTTAGGGTTCTCAAAAACTGTTCAGTGCTAGCTGACAGAGTCGAGGGGTGCCAGCCTGCATATGTGATTGCCTGTTAGGCCTGATAACGTCACCCTGAGGTCACGGTAAGTTGAGTGGCGAATGTTCAGTGCTAGCTGACAGAGTCGAGGGTTGCTAGTGCTGAGACGCCTCAATTTCAGACCTTCAGTAGCTGACCGATTCGACGGGATGCCAGCGTGCGTTTTTTAAGTCAGACTCAAAAACTGTTTGGTGCTAGCTGACAGAGTCGAGGCGTGCCAGCCTGCGTATGCGATCGCCTGTTAGGCCTGATAACGTCACCCTGAGGTCACGGTAAGTTGAGTGGCGAATGTTCAGTGCTAGCTGACAGAGTCGAGGGTTGCTAGTGCTGAGACGCCTCAAATTCAGACCTTCATTAGCTGACCGAGTCGACGGGATGCCAGCGTGCGTTTTTTAAGTCAGACTCAAAAACTGTTTGGTGCTAGCTGACAGAGTCGAGGCGTGCCAGCCTGCGTATGCAATCGCCTGTTAGGCCTTATAACATCACCCTGAGGTCATGGTAAGTTCAGTGGAGAATGTTCAGTGCTAGCTG